AGGATTTGAATAATGTACGTCTCGAAACGGATTGCCAAAATTTGTTTAATGGAATCACCAAAAAATTCAAGGATTTAACTTATTTAGATTTTGTCTATCATGATTCTAGATCTGTTATGTAATTAAACTCTATTAATTCTTGCTCTATTAGTTTTGTTCGTAGGTCAGTGAACCAGTTGGCTCACGCTTTGCCTAAGGCAATTTGGTCTCAGTCGATTTGGTCCTTTATAGGGGAGTTATCCCCTTGTGATTGTGGTGGTAGTCGGTTTCTAGGTTTCCAGTGTTTGGATGTGCCTGGAAAAAGTCAACGAAAATCATTTTCCATTGACTTTGGAAATTATGATTGTTTTAGAGGAAAATGACTTCCCTTTTTTGGGGGGAAGTTATTTTCTAACTTTTACACCACCATCAACACCATACCACCACCACCACCACCACCACTAGTACAAGACCACACTACCACTACCACCACCACCATACCACGACACCACTACCATCACACCACCACTACTAGCACCACCACCACCAGTACAAGACCACACTACAACCACCACCGCCGTCACCGTACCACCGCAATCACCACCACCATCACACCATCAACATCATACCACCACTACCTCACTACCACCATCACCACCACCACCAGTACAAGACTACACTACCACCACCACCACCACTGCTACCACCGCCACACCACCATACCACCGCAATCACTGCCACCACTACCACCACCAACACCATACCACCACCACCTCACTACCACCATCACCACCACCACCAGTACAAGACCACACTAGCACCACCGCCGCTCCACCCCCGCCACCACCACCTCCACCATCACACCACCACTGTTACCACTGCCACCACTGCCATACCACCACCAGTTGTTATTATTATTATTATTATTATTATTATTATTATTATTATTATTATTATTATTATTATTATTATTATTATTATTATTATTATTATATAACAAATAACACCGCTACCACTACCTCTACACCACCACATTACCACCACTATACCACCACCACCATACCACCACTACTATACCACTTATTATTATTATTATTATTATTATTATTATTATTATTATTATTATTATTATTATTATTATTATTATTATTATTGTTGTCGTTGTTGTTGTTGTTGTTGTTGTTGTTGTTTTGAATTACAAGACTTTAGTTAGTTATTTTGATATCTTATTAGTTATTTTTCTATTATATTTAAAATTGTTATTATATTATTATATATTATTATACATGGTGTAATATTCTAAATAAAATAATTAAAATGTTTAATTATACAATTTTACTCATTTTTCAGAAAATAAACCAAACACACCAAGACAGTTTTCCACAATGCAGCCAAACACTGGAAAAGAAAATATTTCCTGAAAAATGACTCATTTTTCAGAAGTCATTTTCCTGCTTTCCAAACAGACCATTAATATAATATCACAATTTTTACCCCCATTTTGGCTCTGGCGCTCTGCCACTGCGTATGGCATTGTGATTCTGAATAATGATAGAAGCTTTGTGGCGATCAGAAGTGGACCCGTTCGATGTTTAAATGACCCTCATTTAGCGGAGGCTATAGCGGTTAACCCTCTCGTGGATTCTTGAACAAGGATGGCGTAATTGTGTTGCGATCAGATTGTCAAATGGTTTGCAAGTTCCTGAATAACAATTTACCGAATTTTTCTTATGCAGGTTGCGTTCTTAAGTATTGCCGGTCTCTAAAACGACACTTTGAATCCGTGTCTATTCAGTATGTTAATCGATCAGTGAATAAGCTTGCTCACGCTTTAGCTAGAGCTGGTAGTTCTCATCCTGGTCATGTTAGTTGGTTTTCTATTGTTTCTTATTGTGTTGAACAATCTCTTGATTTTAATGAAGTATTCCCTTTCAAAAAAAAAATTATTATATTTTAATGAATACATTATCTGAATACTAAAGATACATTATTTTGTATACTATAAAATAATGTATTTTTTATCAAGATTCAAATAATGGACATTTAGTCCACCAATATACCTTTAACATATTAAAAATGTACTCCCTTTGTCTTATTTCGTTTTTTGGTTCGGTTAATAAGGCTTCACTGAAATTATTTTTAATTCAATTTTTTATAATATTAAATTTATTTAGTATTATTATTTAAAATTTATATATTTAGAAACTACTTTAAAAGTGTTATTAAATTAAAATAAATAAATTCAAAATTAATTAAAAATTTACTAAAGAAAATAAGTAATGAAAAACGAGTTGGTGCACAGGAAGAATTGCATAATCATGGAAGCGAATAATGAAGTCCATGTCCATGAAATCAGGGCCGTATTTTAGGGGCTGGTAAATAAATGTGGTCCTATCAAAATAACAATTTTTTAAATAAATACATGCAAGTTTCGAATTTTTGACCTCCAAGTTAAAATACAATAAATACACATTCTTACCATCTCTTCATAAAAACATTTAAATTTAATTGAAAACTTTTAAATTTTATTTCTAAACTAGCTAGGTAAAAATTAAATATTGGACCTCTAAAATTTGGGGCCCCCTAAAATTGGGGGCCATGTGCGATGGCCCAGCTTGCATAGCCTAAAATCCGGCCATGCACGAAATGTTTGACTTAGATTAGCTACTAATGGTTTCAATCCATTTTGACATTGTCAAATTTTTACACAGCCGAATGTTATATTGCTAAAGAATGTTCTACATTTGAAAAAAAATTGTGTGGGACGGGTTGTGTTTGTAGACAACTGAGTGTGTAAGTATCACAATTTCAGTTATAAATATTACAATATTTATTATTAGTAACAATCAATTTTTATCCTAAATAGCATCACAATTTCACATATGAGAAATCAAAGTCTTTGGGTTCCGGAGGGAATATGATCGCAAGACTGAAACTTAAAGGAATTGACGGAAGGGCACCACCCAAGTATTACAATATTTAAGTTAGAATTACACTTCTTAAGTATCAAAATTTTAGTTACAAGTATTACAATATTTATCATTAGTAACAATCATTTTATCCTAAATAGTATCACAATTTTACATATAAATATTACAATATCTATTACAAGTAACAATTTATTTATTTCAAATTGGTATGAAATTTTCTGTAATGAGTATTATGATTTATATCATAAGTAACAAACAACTATTTAAGATTTAATTCGTCTCGCATATTAAGATCCGTGAGACAGTCTCACACAAATGTGACTCCTTACATTTTGCTCAAGTATCTAGAAATGGGTTGAAATAAGGTTCACCTAATTTAGGCGTGTTGATAATGTGCTATTCTATGCTAAAAATATTCAAAGCAGTAATATCTTCAAATAAATTGGTCAATCAGTAGGCAATGTTTTAACTTTTCAACTAAAGAATATTGAGAAACAGCAATAGAGGTCCTAATTGGTTTGCAAAGAGAGTAGTAGAGATTTTGCTAATTGGTTTGCAAAGACAGTAATAATTTCACCTCAAATCAATATTTACTTACAAATTAATTTACTAATACAATATCATTGCATTTTAGATCCTAAATAATGACTACAAAGATGAAGTGCCACATGACATCACATTTTAACAAGAGGTCCACTATATATATAGGTCCAAGGTCGATTGGATTTAGGGAGTGGAGGACCAAAGATTATTGTGTGGACCATGGTCCATATAGCTATGTGGATCATACTATCAAATAATGTATATTCAGTACACAATTAATATACTTTTAGTATATTAAAAAAAATATTATTTAAATATTAAATGTACATTATTTTATATAACGTATATTTAATATACAAATAATGTACTTTTTAATATATTAAAAATGTACTTTTTGTGATGCTTTATAGAGCACTGTGTGGACCATAATTTGCTAAAGACTAATTAGATCTATAGAATGGTTGGAAGTTATGGAATAAGTTTAGAGATCCATTAAGGAAGCATTTTATGTGTGCGAATTGAACTAAGTATCAAAATTAATAGGGGAAATTGCATCTTTGGTCCCTGAGTTATACCCAAGTTCCGATTCAGTCCCTGAGTTATGACTGTATGCATATTTAGTCCCTCAGTTATGAACAAAGTGGCGTATTTAGTCCTCGGCCGTTAAAAGTGACGGAAAATTTTAAAAATTTTAAAATTTGACGGGTAAAGTAGGAAATTCACATTTTATTCTCCTTCTTATATCAAAACCACTTTCACAACATTATTTTTCACTTCTTAGCCTCTTATTTCATGATTGTTCAATTTTAAAAGCATTTCAATAACTTTAGTATGACTTGTTAGGAACCTAGCTCTCGTATAACAAACTTAAGACTTAGCACAAAAATAAAGAAACATTTGATCATTGTCTTCAGACGTGTGAAACACACTATCCTATCAATTTTCAATTTTCCTTACTAAGAAACAAATGTAATCAAATCAGAACTTTTGAGATACAAAATGATGTCAAATTTCTCAGGTTGCTTTTATGAGAAATTCACCAACTGAATAACTTGAGATTTTTAGTATGTAACATTTTTTCGTATAGTGTGTTTCTTTATTTGTGCTAAGTCTTAAGTTTGTTATACGAGAGCTAGGTTCCTAACAAGTCATACTAAAGTTATTGAAATGCTTTTAAAATTGAACAATCATGAAATAAGAGGCTAAGAAGTGAAAAATAATGTTGTGAAAGTGGTTTTGATATAAGAAGGAGAATAAAATGTGAATTTCCTACTTTACCCGTCAAATTTTAAAATTTTTAAAATTTTTCCGTCACTTTTAACGGCCGAGGACCAAATACGCCACTTTGTTCATAACTGAGGGACTAAATATGAATACAGTCATAACTCAGCGACTGAATCGGAACTTGGGTATAACTCAGGGACCAAAGATGCAATTTTCCCAAATTAATATTTCATAAGTGAGTGTGTAAAGATGGGCGAGAATAATGCGAGATAGTATAAAGTGAAAGAAGGGAAAAGGTTAAGGGCCAAATTATTATTTATTGTATAGACGTAATTGTATTTTCTTGCATTTCTTCTCATCGTGCATAAACACCGCATTTAGCGCAATTATTTTAGAGACTTTAGGGTTTCTGCTCCAGTGCTCCGCCCTGTGATAAGCTTTCCTCCGCCACACCGCCCTCCGCCTCTACTTCGACGTTTCGCCATTGCTGCTCAGGTAATATCTTCCACTAATCGTTGCAGAAACACAATAGATCTCTGATATACGAATACTATGTTTAGTTGGTTATCATTCCTCAATGAAGTGTCAAGTTTCCATTTCGACTTGATTAACACCCCCAAATGCTACAGTTGTGATGAAATTTCTGTTTGATGCTTGCAGTGGTATTCCTTGATCTAACACCGCAACGCCACACATTTTTCATGGATTGTGTTGATTTCTATTCTCTTTTTGAGGATTCGGATGGGAGGACTATTAGTTCGCCTGCTGCTTCAGAATTTGACTTTGTCATTGTGGGTTCTAATGTTGTCAATGGGGATATGTTGCTTAGGAAAAGTATACTACAGGTATTTTATTTTTAGGGAAAATAGCATTTTTTGCCCTTAAGTTATATGCTTATAGCACTTTTTCCCCCTCAATTATTTATGTAAGCATGTTAGCCCCCTCAATTATTTTAAAAGTTGTGGTTTTTCCCCCTAATATATTAAATTGACATTTCTACCCTTAAATTAAACATTTTATTTATTTTACTTCTCCAACAAATTATTGCGTATATGTAGCGATTACCACGGTTTGGTTCGAACTGAACCAGACACTACAGCAATCGAATTTAAAGTTTTCAGTTATGATTCAGATTTAGAACTCAATATTTGAATTTCAATTTATTAAATTTAAGAATAAAAAAAACTGGATCACGAACCGTGAACCGGTGGTTCCGGATCCAGTTCGCGATTTTGAACCGTCTTTATTTTAAAATTTTATTTTTTATTTTAAAATTGTCTAAATTCAACAATAAATGTATTTTATTTTTTCAGTTCGGAACATGAACCGGCCATTCCGGTTCGTGATTTTAATAAACTCTAAATATCACGTTTTGATTATAAATTGTAATTGGAATATTTCAGTTTGGTTGCTATAGTATTTGTTTCGTTTGAACCAAATTATAGTAATAATTTGTTCGAGAATAAAAATAAATGAAATATTTATTTTAAATATTTATTTTAAGGGTAAATATGTCCATTTAACATTTCATGGGGAAAAAGAGCCACTTAAATAATTCAGGGGGAAAAAGTGCTATAAGTATATAACTTAGGGGAAAAAAGTGCCATTTTCCCTTATTTTTATTATTGGATTCAATTGCATTATTTGACATTTTTTTTATTATTGGATTCAATTGCATTATTTGACTTTTTTTTTTTTAAGTCAGCGTGTGAATTAGTACTAAATGTCACTATATCCGAAAGTGAAAACTCTAAGAACATCCACACTAGTAAATAATTCTAAGTTTTTGGTATATCTCATTCCCAAGTTTAACATTGATTTGAGGATGAGTTATTTAAGAAATTTTCGGCCTGCAAGGAAAGGTTCATGTTAGAAAAAAAAAAAAAAAAAAAAAAGTCAGTAAGACGCAATTGTGTTTCACCGCCAAGTGGGTGCGTGTACCACCAATTGTTATGCCATGGAACCGTGTTCACCATGGTGAACACGGTTCCATACGATGCCGTTTTATAGGTGTGGGAGTAACGGTGCCCGTAAGTGGCACCGTTATCTCCCACCAATCACGTTTTTTTTTTTTTTTTTTTTTTAAATTAAACGCGCGATATAGCGTTCCATTTTCTCACTCTCCCGGTTTCACTTCTTCTTCACGTAACCTCCATCCCTCTTTGCTCTCTCTTCGTCTTCCCAATCGTCATTTCCTCCGATCATTCTCGAATTCTCTGTTCCACAGTCATTCTCTCTACTTCGCGTTTCCATTTCCACGTTCTCGCATTCCTCGAACAACACTTCGCGTCCTCCATCGTTATCAAAAGAGACAGTATCTATCGCTCATTCTCAAAGTTGCTTCACTTATCTTACAGGTATTATGTACCGGATGTGTTTATAATTTAGGGTTTTGTATTCTGTACAGATTTTGAAATTTATAAATGGGGTTTTGAATGTAATGTTATGAACTTATGAATGTATATCTGTAACATTATGTATATGTAGATTAACCATTATGAATTGATTCTTAGATTGTTTTTACTGCTGTTTATTCACAATCTATGCAGCTTTGAATGTCCATAATGTCACAACTGTTATTGATACTCTATTCTCTTATGAATTTTCTGTTAAGCAATTATGTATTTTATGTTATGCAAATATGTATTTACTGTGTGAGATTATGAATTTTCTCATATGCGATTATGAATTTTCTATTGTGAGTTTATAAAATTACAGTTTTGATATTATGAACTTTCTGATAAGGTTATTGATACTCCATAATGTCACAACTGTTACTGATACTCTGTTCTCTTATGAATTTTCTGTTAAGTAATTATGTATTTTATGTTATGCAAATATGTATTTTCTGTGTGAGATTATGAATTTTCTCATATGAGATTATGAATTTTCTGATATGAGATTATGAATTTTCTCATATGAGATTATGAATTTTCTATCGTGAGTTTATGAAATTACAGTTTTGAGATTATGAATTTTCTGTTCTGCAGTTATGTATTTTCTTTGTGATATTATGAATTTTATGTTATGATATTATGAATTATGTGGGACTGTTATTGATGGACAATATATTCTTTTCGGTAGAGCATGGTTGGATTTATTCGGCATTCCCCATCCCCCCTCTACTGAAATAAAGAATATATTTCCATCAAACTCATGTCAGTTTTGTGCTATATTATATGTTGTATATGAATTAATTGCTTTCTAATGTTTTTAATAAAAGCAATGGGCTCTGCTACGCGCAAGAGAACACGTTCACAAACATGGGCAATTTTGAGCTCTCAAGCTGCAGAGGCATCACAACCCTCTCAAGCTGCAGAGGAACAGAACACTGTGGTCAAATCTAAAACAAAAGCCAAGAGACAAAGAACAACAAGGGCCGTACTCAATTCGCAATCTGCTGAACCATCCCAGCAGCAGCTTGAGGAGCTGCTCCAGCATGAAGTAATAAGAGAAAAAAGGTCAAAACAAATTAATGATAGGCATAAGGGCAAAGAAGCCCATCTTGTCCCAAATAATGGGGAAGGGGAACATGCAGATAATGATGCAGAAGGGAGTGCTACTCCCTACTTCAGCACGCGAATGGGGCCAAAGACCATGTTCAAGTTTGTACAGAAACTAACGCCAGAACAAAAACAATCTGTGCGTGATATTGGTTTTGGAGCCCTGTTGAACCTTCAGCTATGCACAAGTGATTCACAGTTAGTGCAGTATTTGCTTGACAACTTTGAGCTTTACCAAACACATTTCAAATTGGAGAATGATAAGCTCACTGTTGAAGAAGAGGACATAAAGTACACTCTTGGCATTCCACGGGGAGAAAAGGTGGTTGTTGAGGGCCCAAAGTATGATGAACAAGGAAGACCAAAGTACAGAGCTCTGTTACAAAGTTGGAGGACAAGGTGGAATATTAAAATTGGTTCCCCAATCACAACCAAAATGGGGGATGTGATTGTTAAAAGAGGAGATTATGGTGATGAATTTAAAAGGGGCTTCATGGTCTTGACTGTTTCATGCATGATGCGAGGATTTCAGACACGCCGCTGCAACCATAAAATACTCAACTCCTTGGTTAATGTTGATGAAATAAAGGAATACAACTGGTGTAACTACACCTACAACTCTCTTATCAAATCCATTAAGAAGTACAAAAAAAAAAGTAATGGATTTTTTACTGACCGTTGACATTCATACTGGTAAATTCTAGTTACACATCCAATGTCTTTATTGCATTCATTGTCTTAGTGTGATTATCTGACTTTCAACACAATGTTATAATATTACACATATATAATTTTGAAATTGTAAACATAAGGTTATTGAGCTTATGAGATTATGCATTTTCTGTTAATAGATTATGAATTTTCTGTTAAGCAATTATAAATTTTCTGTTATCAGATTATGAATTTTCTATCATGCTATTATGAATTTGCATTTATAGATTTATGAATTTTCAGTTATGATATTATGAATTTTCAGTTATGATATTATGAATATACTGTTCATATTGATTATGAATTTTCTACTATGGTATTATGAATTTTCTGTTATTTAATTATGAATTTTGTGTTAGGAGATTATGAATTTACAGTTATAGAATTATGATTATAACTTTTTTTCCCTTTTTCTTGAAAATTGTAGCTATTCTACTTTGATTGGGTCCAATTCAAAGGGATGAGAGTTGAGAGAACATATCCAAGCATAACTGCATGAACAAAAAAGCTTGCAAGACAAAGAGTTTCTGCGGAAAGAAGGTCAGGTGGATATGGTAAAGGGAAAGTTATCCCGCGTGTTGCAAAGCCTACTGCTCCTGATGCTCATGATGCTATTGCTTCTACTTCAAACCAACCTGCTGCTCCTGATGCTATTGCTTCTACTTCAAACCAACCTGCTGCTACTGATGCTCATCCGACGGTCCCAAGAGTCTCTGTGCCGCCATCCAGTGTTGATAGAGTCACACAAGTGCTACGGCGGCTTACTGTTGATGTCTTGGAGTTTGGAGAGGCAATGGCTGAAGTTGGCAAACAAAATGCCCCTGTGGATGTTATGAAGACCGCCTTTTCTGGAATTTCTACCATGATCACCGTGGCAAGTACGATAGACAGACCACCAACCCCAACCTTCTCTCAACTTGATGACATCTTCTTCGGCCAGGAGTCTTTCACAAAGGCCGTTGATGCTTTGGTTGAAGCTTTTCAAAAGACCACCAAGAAAATGGAGTTTGAACCTCCATCATTTGATTTGGGAATTTCTTATACCCCGGCACCATTGGTTGAAGAACCACAAGAGCAGTGCACGTTGGATGAACAGCAATTGGATGCCCTGCTACACCTGCTGCTACACATGCTACTACTCCTGCTGTTACACATGCTGCTACCCCTGCTGCTTCAACATCTGAAACCCAAGAAATAACTCCATATATTAGGGTGCCATTCCCCAAAGATGTCCCTGGTGATGCTGATGCTGCTACACTTGCTCAGCAGCACTTGCTGCTAACCTTGATGATATTGATAGGTAAACTAATGAAGTTACGAAATTGTGAATTTTATGTTATCATTATGAATTATGAATGTTCTTATATGATATTATGAATTTTCTATTATGAATTCACAGTTTTGAGGTTATGACTTTTCTGTTATGCAATTATAATTTTCTGTATGAGATTATGAATTTTATGTTATGAGATTATGAATTTTATGTTATGAGTTTATGAATTATGTGTAACTGTTATTGATGGACAATATATTCTTCTTATGTAGAGCATGGCTGGATTTATTCGGCATTCCCCATCCCCCCTCTACTTAAATAAAGAATATATTTCCATCAAACTTATTTCTGTTATGATATTATTCACTATCTATGCAGCTTTGAATGTCCATAATGTCATGCCTGTTATTGATAATATGTTTCTCTTATGAACTTTCTGATATTATATTATGAATTTTCTTCTGTGAGATTATGAATTTTCTCATATGAGATTATGAATTTTCTATTGTGAGTTTATGAAATTACAGTTTTGAGATTATGAATTTTCTGTTGTGCAATTATGTATTTTCTGTTATGCCATTATGAATTTACAGTTATTCAATTATGAATTTTCTGATATGAGATTATGCAGTTATGATAATGTTAACTAGCTTCATGCATTTTGTGTAAAAACACAGTGCATTTCTGGAGAGCGAATCCGATGTTGAAGATGTCACTGTCCGAAAGAGACCAATCCGAAAATTAAAAAACATCTCGCTGAATTTGAGGTCACCTTTTTGGACAAAGAATGCACCATTGTCCATAATGCTAGTGCCACAGAGAAGGCCGTATCAAACTATGCCTTCATGGATGCTTCTGCAAATCATCCAAGAGTATGTTTGAATCTGACTATTTAATAAACTTTTTATTTCCATGAATATTTAACATTTATAAACATGTATTAATTTATTTACTTATTTATCTAACTTTTTTGGTGTTGTAGTGAAACTCTATTTAGCTTTGATGATTTCTCTATGACACGGAGAGATTTCCACACACTAAGCAACGGTAAAATTTTTAACACCTTCATTGATGTATGAGCGTTGAGGCTTACATTCCTCAACACAAAACGGCGCATTGGGGAAGCCAAAATGCATATATTTTAGCACGTTGGTACATGTAAGTTCAGACCAGAAAATTTTACAATTTGTAACTAATTTCATATTGCACAACTTATCATTAATACGTATTTTTTTCCCCTTAGCTATAACTTGACCCGACTGAACAATGGATGAAGGATCTTACACTTCAAAAGCGGAAGGAAAATTTCAACGAGCGGTTACAATATGAAATTTCCAAATTTAGAAATCTTGACATCAATGATGCTGATCTGGTAATTTATAATTACCCACGTTCAACTTTTATTTAGTAATGACATTTTTCTTCTCTATTCTAACTTCTTCTTCTTTTGACATTAGATATTTTTCCCCGTGTTTCGACACGGACACTACTTTATTGTGTGCATTAACACCATCACAAAAAGTGATGAAATCATAGACAACAAGACCCTGCCTCCTGGTGTTACAGAAATTGACAAATATCAAGATTGCCCCAGTCTACTGGTAACTTAACATTAAACTTGAACTTCTAATCATTTGTTACACATTTCCTATGAATCATTATGACACTAGTTTGATTTTTGTCCAGATGACTGCTCTAAAGGAGTACTTGACTGCAGAGAAATCACCTCTACTACGTAAGATACAAAAGCTTCTTGTATCACACTTGGTCATTCACTGGAAGGAGCTTGACAATGTCATTGACTGTGGCATATATGTCATGCGACACATGGAATCGTACAAGGGGAATGTTTAAGATCGGAATAGTGAGTTCAAAAGAAACACTCGTGTAAATGTAAGAGTATAAGATATATTAATTTCAACTTAGATTTACTTTTTTTAATTTGTTTTTTAACATCCCATTAAACTGATTATTTTAATGTTTTTTTTTTTTTTTGAAGGCTGACTTCATTTGGGAACTGAGAACTAAATATGCGTCAAACATTATCACATGGGGTAGGAACACTGAAAGATCACGGGTTATGAAGGCAGCAAAGGAGCTCTCAAAGAAGAAATGAAACTATACTATTTTTGGTGTTTGAAAATGTTGTGAACATGAAACAGTAATTTTGTGAATACTTCATTTTGAAATTTTGACTCTTGGTACCCTAGTTTCAGAATCTCTTATTTTGTAATGTGCACAAATATTTTGCACCTGTGAATATGAAATCTATTACTCTTAATTCAGGTTACATATGGTTCATATGGATTTATGAATTTTCACCTACCATATTATGAATTTTCTGTCATGCAAATATGAACTTTCTATTATGATATTATGATGTATAGTTGTCAATTATAACTGTAAATTCATTATTATTACATAACATTAAAATCATAATGACATAAAGGAAAATTCATAATCACATAAAGGAACATTCATAATCAAATAAAGGAAAATTCACAATCTGACACATATAATTCTCATAATCTAAATAGCATAAAATTCATAAGTACATACTGTAAATTCATAATGATATAAAGGAAAATTCATAATCATATGAAGGAAAATTCATAATCTGATAAAGGAAAATTCATAATCTGACACTATAATTCATAATCTAAATAGCATAAAATTCATAAGTACATACTGTAAATTCATAATGACATAAAGGAAAATTCATAATGACATAAAGGAAAATTCATAATGATATAAAGGAAAATTAATAATCACATAAAGGAAAATTCATAATCCGACACACATAAGGCAAAACTGCAGATGTACACATCAAACATATTGCAACTATATAGTTCAAATCTAAATATTTTGCATAGTATTCATCACATCACTACTAAACATATCAAGTTCTATTAACACAATCGCAATCTATATCTACATTATGGTCTATATTCTTATTAAAATGAACAAACTGTGAACCCCCAGAGTTTGGATGTACGAGATATCCATCACGAGCAATCTCTGATATATATTCCAAGACCAATGATTGGACAGAGCCCTTTGTAATTGAAGCAAGCTTGTTTGCAGCACTCTTTCTCCCCCTTGCTGCATTGTACTTCTTCTCAATAACACTACTACTCCTTTTATTTCTCACACCTTCTCTCCTCCAGCTTGAAGGGTATTGGACAATACCACTTGAAGAAGACATAGCACCCTCCTCAATATTCACATCCCCAATCTCATCTTCAACGTTTTTCCTTGCATTCTCAACAACTTCATCACAGAATTATCTAGCAATACTGTTATCTTCACTACAAACAATAAGTCTTTGAAATTTCCTACTAATCTCAACAGCCCAAATTGAATAAGGGACACCAACATTATAAAACACAGATGCAATGTCCACATTTCTACCCTCAACAACCTTTTTAGTCCATCTTTTAAGAATGTATTTATTGGGAATACTAGAAACACAGTGCACATGAAGTATACGTAAGCAATGGCAGCAAAGTATTCCCAATTCTGAAAACATCTTGCAACTACAACATATATCCAAATTGATTGGCTTAAAAGTTACTTCATGCCTTATGATGTCTATGTCTGGTCGCCACACGTGATACTTGCACTTACATCCATCATTCAACACCATTTCTTGATAACAAGAGCTACCTTTCATAAATTGTTCCTCGAACAAAAAATATATTTCAATCGTATATACCTCTCTAGCATGTGAAAGGAGTTTCACATGATCCATCATCATGACAGGTATTCCTTGAGAACACCGAAAATCTTCACCATTTTCCTTACTTCTCCATTCAGAAATAACACTCACAAAGGATGAATAAAAATCACATAAACCAGCAGTCTTAGACAACCTCCTAGAAATTGAATGATTTGTAGTTTCACTACTTTGAGAAGATAAAATACCCCCGGAAAAATAATCTTTGTTAAATGCTGGACACCACTTTTCCCTACAATCATAAAGCTTCTCTAGCCAAGTATTCTTATGACACTTATATTCTGTAACCATCCTGAAAAGTTACAACACATGTTTACTAAGCTTATTCTGTAAATTCATAATCTCATATTAGAAATTTCATAATCATATAACAGAAAATACATAATAACATAACAGAAAATTCAGAATTGTATAACTGTAAATTCATAATCTCATATTAGAAAGTTCATAATCATATAACAGAAAATACATAATAACATAACAGAAAATTCAGAATTGTATAATGTAAATTCATAATTTTTATCCCCTGTTGAATACACAGTATAACTGACTAAAAATACCAAAATATGATACTGTACCCAATGAACAAAGTAAATAATAACATACCTTATCCAATAAACTTCAAACTCAGCTTCAGTCTCGGTGTATTTCAACACACAATTGAACATATCCAGAAAATCCTTATGATTCCTTAATGGCTTGATATGCTTCTGCGAATTCTCACCAATATGTCATATGCAAAGACGGTGGCGTGATGTAGGGAACACCATAGAAATGCCAGCAGCCATAGCTGAACATTGATCCGTCATGATAGTCTGTGGACACTTGCCATCCATGGATCTTAAAAATGCTCTAAACAACCACGCAAATGACTCTATCCTCTCATTCATCAAAAACCCACATCCAAACATTACATTCATGCAATGATGGTTCATTCCTACAAAAGGACCACAAATCATATCATATTTGTTAGTGCGATATGTTGTATCGTGCACTAACAAATCACCAAACACCTCACAATCCCTTCTCATTTGACCATCCCTCCAAAATAAACTACACAATCTTCCATCCAAATCAACTTCAAAATCAAAAAAGAAATCAGCCTCATTAGATTGCCTCCTCTTAAATATTTCAATCAAAGAATTAGAATCAGTTCCATCCAAACACTTCAAACTCTCAGAAGCCATCGAATTGTAAGCATCGCGATTGGTAAAGCCAACCAATGGAGAACCCCCTGACTGATGTTTCAAAAACCTCATACCATCCGCCAATGCAACACCACTATTCTTCATATCTTTTAAATATTCAAGATGATTATTTCCCACTCTTCTATGCGAACGGAGCAGATGACTCTTGCCAAATGAACATAACTCATGATTGTGCTCTTTCACATGTTTTGTAACGGTCCACATCCCATCGCCCCCCACGTCAAACTGAACAAGTGCACCACAACCAGTCCTTATATCATTTTTGAATAAAGCTTAACACCACTATTTGGTTTTCCTTATACCCAGCCTTAGCACAGAAGAACCTCTTCATTTGAATTGACTTAGTAGATGCCTTATAACGTTGTTGACCTTTCCACACACTAAAACCAACTCTGTATGCATATCCATTATATAATCCAAAAGCTTCATCACCATTACTTACTACAATACCAACCAAGTCTTCATCAACTGCAATTGCAACAAAAATATAACCACACCTATACCAACTACTAAATTATGAATGTGCAGGTCAACTATAATGAATTTCATAAACTCACAATAGAAAATTCATAATCTCATATGAGAAAATTCATAATATCATATCAGAAAGTTCATAAGAGAAACAGAGTATCAATAACAGTTGTGACATTATGGACATTCAAAGCTGCATAGATAGTGAATAATATCATAACAGAAATAAGTTTGATGGAAATATATTCTTAATTCAAGTAGAGGGGGGACGGGGAATGCCGAATAAATCCAGCCATGCTCTACATAATAAGAATATATTGTCCATCAATAACAGTTACACATAATTCATAAACTCATAGCATAAAATTCATAATCTCATAACATAAAATTCATAATCTCATATAGAAATTTCATAATTACATAACAGAAAATTCATAACCTCAAAACTGTGAATTCATAACAAAAACAGAGTATTAATACCAATCGCAACATTACTGACATTCAAATTGCATATAATCACCATGAATCAGTACCTACAACTACCAGAAACCACATTCTTGTTAAAAAGCTAAGAAAAGAACCTGGATTTGAAGACGAGCCACCAATGTCAATGTTTAACTCTGCTTGATCAGTGCTTATTGAATCACCAACAAAATCTTCATTCACTGGATATATGCAAACAGAGTAACATACCGGTTAATATGTTATGAACATAGTACTATTAAATTATGAACATTCATACCACATGCATGAACAGAGTATCAAAATTAATAATTGCGTAACAGAAAATACATAATCTCATATTGTAAAATTCATAACAGGAACATAGTACTAATAACAATTGCGACATTATGAACATTCAAACTGCATAGATACTGAACAAACACCAATAAAAACAAACTAAATCTTCAACATGCTAAAATCCCATAAATCAAACGACATCAAACGCATAAAATCGAACGAACCTGGAATCGCAGAAATCAAATCACCGATCGAATCTTCTCCGCGAACCGCTGTCTCCTCCATCTACGAGTTCAAATCAATCAATCGCGAATAGGAAAGAATTGTGAATATCGGATCGAATCAATCGCGAATGGGAGAGAGAATTGTTAAACTGCCAAAATTAGAACTGCCTTCAAACTCGATACTAACGCCGTTAATAGAACAGTGAATTTTCTTTTTTTTTTTTAAGTGACGCCAAAAACGACGTCGTTTGGAAGCGTGTTCACCAAGCATGGTGAACACGTTTCCACGGCATAATTTGCGGTGTACCACACACTCCCGCTTGGGCGATTGGGAGTGGCGGCCACTCTCAATTTAATTAATTTTGGCGGTAGCAACGACTAAAATTTAATCATAATGGAAAAAGACAATTCTAGTAATCAAAATTCACAATCAAATTTTTCTTTTCTTCACAATATTCTCAATTTCCCCAAAATTCTCAATTTCTCCCAAATTTTCAATTTCCACCAAATTTTCTATTTTTACAAAATTCTCAATTTTCACAAAATGCCCAACTTCGGGTAATGTTCAATTTCCATCATTTCCACCTATATTTCAAAACTCTCAATTTTCTATCCACATATAAAGTGCCCAATTTGCAGGTAATATGCAATTTACTCAATTTTTGCCTTTTTCTACCCAAAGCGAAAATGAAGTAACAATTACTCCACCACCGGACAACTCGGAGAGTCGTCGACAACTATGAAATATTGAGAATGACAAAATGTTGACACGTGCTTA